ACTCTCAGCCCATCACTTATTTACTTAAAAACAAGCTCAATTGATTTCAACAAGAATTACAGTGAAATAAGGAGCTTATGATAATAGTCAGTTTAAATTCTAAAAACATTTTCATAAAAAAAATCCCTTTGGAATCATGAAAGTTTATCTTCTGTAAATGAGATTAAGGCTGTAGCTAACTTCAAAATCACTTTTACAGTCCAGACCCTCCCAGGCACTAGTCCCAGCATGGTGGAATTCATGGCATTCTTTGCCAGTACCAGACACAGAAGGTTTGGATATATAGACATATATACATAGACGCATATAAACCACATAGATAAACCAACCCACACACACAGAGGGAGGTAAAGTATTGCTCCAGTTTTTTTAAAAAAATGGCTTTTGCTTTGCTAAATGATAGAAAAACTGATGGAAAACAGCAGCTCATACTGCAAAACTATCTGTTCTACTGCTGTTATTTTCAAAACTGCACTTTTCCTTAGGGGAGTCATTGTGCCCTGCATGTCTTCTTCCATCTGGAAGCAGCTGCTGCAGAAGCAAAGGAAGTTTTTAGCTGGAAGCAAGGAGGTAATGGCAACTAAAACCATCTGCAGAGCTCATTAGACTGATAGCCATGACTTTTGAAAGGGCTCCAAGTCAAGGGTACACATTTTTTTCAGCAACAAAAGAGTATTGTGAAGAAAGATAGAACTGGTCAGAAATTCCAGTTGCCACAAAATTGCAGCATTTTGCACTATGATTTATTTTGCTTTTTGATTCTCCATTGAGAAATAAAACACAGACAAATAAATACATCAGTACTGTTGGATGTGTTCATAAGGCACAGCTATGAACACATTGCCAAAGGATGAGATATGGAACATCAGTAAAATATTATACAATTTTCTCTACTTTAAAAAAAAAATTATGTTTGGATAAAAAAGCTTCTCTAGAACCATGATTTGAGTCAGGGGTGGGTTCTAAATTTTTTTATTACTGTTTCTGTGGGTGTGGCTTATTTTGTAGGCGTGGTTTGATGGTCATGTGACAATTCTTTAGGATTTAGCAGAGGTACTGGTCTATTTAACTGCTTGCAGAGCTATACTGGTCTACTCATTTATTTTTGCAGACACTGGTCTACCCATTTATTTTTGCAAGCACTGGTCTACTCACGTATTTTTGCAGGCACTAGTCTACCCATTTATTTTTGCAGGCACCGGTCTACTCATTTGTTTTGGGAGGTACCAGTCTACCACCAAACTGCCTTTTACCACTGATCAGCTGTAGGGCGGCCCTTTGAAGCTCCGCAGCAAGAGTTTAAACAGTTTTTTTCCTTATAGCCCATCAGCTGGGACTCAGGAGGCAGCAATAGATTGGGGGTGGGGCCAAATAAAAGGTAAGAATAACGTGTGGGGCGGGGTGGCAGAACCGGTTCGGTGACATCATATCACTGCTACTGGCTTGGCGGAACCGGACGGAACCGGGAGGAACCCACCACTGATTTGAGTAGACAGTACTTTAAAGTACTATTGTACGAGAGCTATATTGGTCTATAATGGAAAAAAAAAAAGAGGGAACGTAGTAGCACTTTTTATGATTAGCCAATGTTAAATAGATTTAACATTTGTTTGTTTAACAGGTTTAGCCTTGGAGCACAAAATGAAGCAGGGCACAAGCTGATAGAATTTTGTCAAGAGAATATGATGGTCAAAGCAAACACTATTTTCCAGCAACCCAAGAGATGACTCTACACATGGACATCACCAGACGGTCAACAAAGAAATCAGATTGACTATGTGCTCTGCAGCCAAAGATGGGGAAGCTCTATACAGTCAGTAAAAACAAGACCAGGAGCTGACTGTGGCTCAGAGCTTTTCGTTGCAAAATTTAGGCTTAAATTGAAGAAAGCAGGGAAAAGCACTAGGCCGCTCAGGTATGAACTAAATCATATCCCTCATGAATACACATTAGAGGTGACAAATAGATTTAAGGAATTAAATTTGATAGACAGAGTGCCTGAAAAACTACGGACGAAGGTTCGCAACATTGTACAAGAGGTAGCAACTAAAACCATCCCAAAGAAAAAAAAATGCAAGAAAGCAAAATGGCTGTCTGAGGAAGCTTTACAAATAGCTGAAGAAAGAAGGGAAGCGAAAGGCAAGGGAGAAAGAGAAAGATACACCCAATTGAATGCAGAATTCCAGAGAATAGCTGGAAGAGATAATAATGCCTTCTTAAATGAACAGGGCAAAGAAATAGAAGAAAACAATAGAATAGGAAGGACCAGAAATCTCTTCAAGAAAATTAGTGATATGAAGGGAACGTTTCATGCAAAGATGGCCATGATAAAGGATCAAAATGGCAGGGACCTAACAGAGGCAGAAGAGATTAAGAAGAGGTGGCAAAATTACACAGAAGAACTATACAAGAACGAGCGTAACTTCCCTGATATCCATGATGGGGTGGTCACTGACCTTGAGCCAGACATCCTAGAATGTGAAGTCAAATGGGCCTTAGGAAATCTGAGCAACAACAAAGCTAGTGAGGCGACAGTATTCCAGCTGAGCTATTCAAAATCTTAAAAGATGATGCAGTAAAAGTGCTACACTCAATTTGCCAGCAACTCAACAGTGGCCACAGGATTGGAAAAGGTCAGTTTACATTCCAATTCCAAAGAAAAGCAATGCCAAAGAATGTTCAAACTATCGCACCATTGCACTCATTTCACATGCCAGTAAGGTTATCCTTAAAATTCTACAAGCTAGGCTCCAGCAGTATGTGGATCAAGAACTACCAGAAGTACAGGCAGGATTTCGAAGAGGCAGAGGAACTAGAGATCAAATTGCCAACATACGCTGGATCATGGAGAAAGCTAGGGAGTTCCAGAAAAACTCTACTTCTGCTTCATTGACTATGCTAAAGCCTTTGATTGTGTGGCAAGTTCTTAAAGAGATGGAAGTACCAGACCATCTTATTTGTCTCTTGAGAAACCTATATGAAGGTCAAGAAGCAATAGTGAGAACTGGACACGGAATTGGTTCAAAATTGGGAAAAGAGTCTGGCAAGGCTGCCTATTTAACTTATATGCAGAGCACATCATGAGAAAGGCGGGGCTAGATGAATCAAAAATTGGAATGAAGATTGCCAGGAGAAATATCAGTAACCTCAGATATGCAGATGATACCACTTTAATGGCAGAAAGTGAAGAGGAACTAAAGAGCTTCTTAATGTGGGTGAAGAAGGAGAGTGCAATAGTTGGCCTGAAACTCAACATTAAGAAAACTAAGATCATGGCATCCAGCCCTCTCAATTCCTAGCAAATAGATAGGGAAGAAATGGAAGTAGTGACAGATTTTATTTTCCTGGGCTCCAAGTTCACTGCAGATGGGGACTGCAGCCAAGAAATTAAAAGACGCTTGCTCCTGGGGAGGAAAGTTATGGCAAATCTAGACAGCATACTAAAAAGCAGAGACATCACCCTGCCAACAAAAGTGCATATCGTCAAGGTTATGGTTTTCCCAGTTGCAATGTATGGCTGTGAAAGTTGGACTGAGCGCCAAAGAAAGGCTGAGCCCCACAGAATTGAGGACTTTGAACTATGGTGCTGGAGAAGACCCTTGGATTGCAAGGCGATCAAACCGGTCAGTCCTAGAGGAGATCAATCCTGACTGCTCTTTAGAACACCAGATTCTGAAGATGAAACTCAAATACTTTGGCCACCTAATGAGAAGGAAGGACTCACTGGAGACGAGCCTAATGCTGGGAAATATTGAAGGCAAAAGAAGAAGGGGACGACAGAGAATGAGGTGGCTGAATGGAGTCACTGAAGCAGTAGGCGTGAGCTTAAATGAACTCCAGAAGATGGTAGAGGACAGGAAGGCCTGGAGGAACATTGTCCATGGGGTCATGGTGGGTCAGACATGATTTTGCAACTAACAACAACAACAAAAAAAGGTTTTTAAATTTAAATTTTAAATTGAAACCAGTTTTTAAAAAAGCAAAAGCTGCAGTAAATTTCACCGGATGTTATTAGGAAAAGGTGCTACCAGACTTTCACTAGGTTCTATTGGGATGTATACCAAAAGTTCTCACCTACTAATTGTTTTTCAATTTGTGCCTTCCTGCCCATCTGGCCAGGGCCAGCAAGGCTGAAGCATTTTTACCAATCTCTAACAGCTAACAGGGTGTGTCTGAGACAGAAATCCTATTCACAACTCCTCTGCTCAACATTGGAATGGATGTGTGGCTGTGCAATGAAAGTTAGTAAGTACCGTGTAACTGCAAAAAAAAAAGAAAGAAAGAAAGAAAGAAAGAAAGAAAAAAAAAAGAAACCTGCAACATTTTAACTGATTTTACAGAAAATGTTTGATTGGGCCATGCCAGTGTTTTTTTTTTTAATCTAACCTAATTAATCTCACAGAGAAATTGGGAAAATGAACCAAGCAAACTTCTTTTAATTCATGGGTGAAGGAATGAGATATAAACAAAACAGCTAAATAAATATACCTTTCTCTCATTTCAGTAAGAAATATCCAAGCATACTCTTCAAATTCTTCCAACTAACCAATTTTAATAAGGTCTTATGAGTCTTTGATGAGTAATATCACAATTGCTCACAGTATCCTTTACCTTTGACATCTGGACTACTAAAATTTTCTTTACATGGGCCTCCCTTGAAAATCTTTCAGAAGCTTCAGTTGATTCAGCAGTTAGCAATCAAGGTTTGCTTACACTTCTGGCTAAGTTTCCTCCACTTCTGACAATGCTACCTTGGCTGCCAGCTAACGTGCAATTTTAGATTCCGGTTGTCATCCTTACTGTCCTATATGGCTCAGAGTCTGGTTACCTCTGAGACTGCCTGCTCCATCTTGAATCTACCAATCTGCTGAAATCAGGGTAAGTAAGGAGTCAAAGGAATCTTAACTTTGAAATGTTTCCATTTCTCATTCTGAATTATGCTAAACACTAACATTAACTCAGGACCAATGAAGAAAGGTACAATGAAAAACTAGGTTTACCTCTGAATAAAAATCACATAGATCTCATGTTTCTCTGCTAGGAAGGCAGCAATGGGAAGATATCAGGAAAGCATCAAGTTGAGGAAGCCGGAAACAGGTTTTGTAAAGTCTTGCTTTACAAACGATTAAAAAGACTTGTGCTGCAGTCTGGTTTATATATTAGCACCAGAAAACACAAAAGCTTAGAACCAAATCCTGTGCTGACATGAAATCAGTTTTAGGAGAAAGCCTCCGGATTTTTCAAATGCAATTTCTCCCCCCCCCCCACCACCACTCAAGGGAGGTTAACTTTTGGTACTTCGTTACTTCTTGCCCCAGACTCGTATAAACGTTTGCACATTTGAAAAGAGCACATCCCCCACCTCTCCTTCCTTTAACTTCCTTTTTGAGAGACAGATGGTGGTTGAGTATTTTTTTCCCCCCGAGGTCTTCCTTTGAAGACGTTCTGCGCCGCTTGTACAGCATTTCAGCTGTTCTGAATTAAATCATAACATCCTCGAAGGGGAGGACCAACTGACCTCTCCCGCACCTAGACAAATGGCAATGGTGGTCCGCCCCCCTCCGCCCCCTGCTTCCTCCGTCCGCAAGGTACGAGTGGGTGGGTGGGTGAGTGGGTGGGCGAGAGGAAAGCAGCAGTTCCCTGGACGAAGGTCTCGGTGGAGTCTCCGTCGCGCATGCGTGCCGCTGCTTTCTCCCTCCCCCTCCTGGTTTTCCCCAACCTGAAGTTAACTTCTGGCGCTCCGACTTGCACTTCGGAGGCTACCAGGCAAGCGATGGCACTTTGGCTCAAGTTCTGCTCTTTCTTCTTCTCTCTCACGGCCTGCCTCGATGGCCCGCGTCTGGCCGTCTCCGCCGGAGGGACCAGCAGCGGCGGCGGCGGTGGCAGGAAAGGATCCGCGGGCGAGGCTTGCGCCTGGATGGTAAGTAAGACGGTTTGGGGTTTGGATGGATTTGATCACGGTGTGTTTGGGTCCAAGTTCGGTTTATTCCGACCGAAGGCAGGAAAAGACACCAAGTTTGCCGGGTGCCAGATACCTTTCGGTTTAAAGCGCTTCGGGACACCGACAGCCGGGCGATGGCAACAGTGTGCCCGCTTTGCGTGGTGGGCACTTTGCTGCAAGCACAGCTATGCAAGCAAGGCTGACGCTTCCTTTCTCCCTTCCTTTTTTTCTCTTTCCCTCCTTCTCTCCTTTCCTCCCTCCTTCCCTCCTTCTTTCCTCCCTCCCTCCCTCCCTCCCTTTTTTCTCCCTCCCTCCTTCCTTCTCCGCTTGTTCCTTGCTGGCGCTCCCCGTCTAGCAAACAAGAGGGCCAGCTGGCATTTGTAAGCTTTTGGGATGGTTGGCGGCGGAGTTTGACTGCAGTTTCGCATCAAAGGAGGCTGGGGAGGAAGGAGGGACGGGGCAGCGGAGAGGGAGGGAGCAACAAGTGTGAAGTCGCTCCACAGGTCTTTTATGCGCCTGTCTCCCTAATTCTTCTCCCGCCTTAACTAAACCTGTGCCGGGAGAAGAGGATAAAAGGCGATCGCTTTGGCCTTTGTCATTTTAATCCCTGCAGGCTGGTTTGGTTACAGGCCTGATCTTTACCGGAAAGACGGTAACTGGGAGTGTTGGTAAGGTGATAAAAAAGAGTTTTAGGGCTTCACCTTTTGTCTCTCCCAGAAGCTGCAATTTCCTTGGGTTCCCTAAGTGTGATTTTCCTTGGTGTGTGTGTGTGTGTGAAATAAAAAACAAAGACCGCTTTCCTGCTCCTTTCAGTTTTCAGCCTTATTAAAGATTCCAGATGACTGGCACCAGTGACTTTCATTACTTCTTTTTTGTTGTTGTTGTTAACCTGTCACAAAGATTTCCTGGGGTCATGAAGAGGGGTGGGGGTTGGGGGGTCTAGGAGACTGGTGAACTAGTGAAGTGGCTCCGGTATTATTAACATCCCTTCTTCTGCTGTTTCTTTGTTCTTGCTTTATTTTTTATAGACTTTTGTGGTTTTAATGTTTTTAATAATTATGGTAATGGATTTTTAGGTAATTATTGACTGTTAAGCTTTGTTATAGGCCGCCCAGAGATGGGCAGCTTTATAAATTGCACAGATAAATTGTAAGATAAGTTGTAAAAAAACAAAGGAAGTGACCTGCTGGCATGGAGTAGTTGTGTTCATACCTGAAAATACATATATAGCTATAGGAAAAGAGCTAAACGTTTAGAGGGACAACTTGCTAGAGTTAATAATTGATTTGCAGATTTTAAAGTCTAGTTATATGTACATGAGAACCTTAGAAGCTCTAATGCTTCTCAAAGATTTGGTGTATTTTCTAATAAAAATGATATTAATTGCTCTATTGACAAGAAAGCCACAGAAATTTAAATTCAGCTGAAAAAAATAGAATTCATTCCATCGTGACAAAATTAATTTGCAGTCACCTAAAAATTGCTTTTACTTACCATCACATTTTCTCTGCTCTTTGCTTTAGTAATTGGTTCATTTCAGTTGTTTAAGAAAAAGCTATAATGTTTTGTGTTGTGGGGGGGAAGAGAAAACCCTGATTACAGTCTGGGCCACATTCATAAGCACTGATTGTGGAATAAAACCAATTGCCTTGTTTGCATAGCAATTGTCTTGGTCTGTTTGTATATTTTGAATAGACTTGCCATACTATTAAATGACTGATGGCCCCTGTAACACATTGTCTGCTCTGGGGCAAGGCTGCCTTTGAAGTGCTATCCTGTAGGAAGTAAAAAGACTATTTGCTGTATTAAAATTCCTCGGTATTTCCTCTGTTTAACCACAGGCCACTTCCCCTTTACCACTCTAAACACTGCAGGGACACTGGCTGATTGAAAAAGCACAAGGACTGAAGTAATTGCATCCCATTCAGACAGCAATGCTTAGTATAGTTTATTTATAATCCTCAAGTTCCTTATTTATAGTATTTGATAAAAGAGGGGGTTCCCCTCTTTTCTGTTAAAAACAAGGTGGAAACATGAAAGAATCCTATTGACTTTGGATCAAAGTATTTGGGTAACTTACTGATACATCTTAACTGGAAATTGAGAGAGAGAGAGAGAGAGAGACAGAGAGAGCGCAAGAAATATGTGTTGCATTTAGGTCCAGATGACTTCATGCTCTACTAAGTGTGCATCTACTATCCTTAGAGGGAGGCTATGAGGGGTGAAATCCAGCAGGTTCTGACAGGTTCTGGAGAACCGGTAGTGGAAATTTTGAGTAGTTTGGAGAACCGGCAAATACCGCCTCTGGCTGGCCCCAGAGTGGGGTGGGAATGAAGATTTTGCAATATCCTTCCCCCAGGAGTGGGGAGGGAATGGGGATTTTGCAGTATCCTTCCCCTGGAGTGGAGTGGGAATGGAGATTTTGCAGTATCCTTTCCCTGCCACACCCACCAAGCCACACCATACCTACCAAGCCATGGCCACAGAACCAGTAGTAAAAAAGATTAGATTTCACCACTGGAGGCTATAGCCTAGACCTCTGCATACTAATTATGAGTAAACATGTTCAAGGTAATGCTATAGATTGTGTAACAGAGATTGATCAAGTAAACTTTGAGAGCCTTGTTTGAAAAGTTTCTTTAATAAAGGACACATGTGTTCTCCATCAGTCTAAAATAATTGTGCACATTTTTGAAGTGAACTTGCCCATTTAATTATTTTTAAAAGATGGGAATTGCGAGTGGCCCCATCCTTTCAGTATCATATTAAGGATATAAATAAATGACAAAAGAACAAAGCTCCTCTGGTGAACAATACGGTTAAAACAATTATTCCACACTTGAAATAGATTTTTTTTTTACTTTTTCCTTTGACATACATACTAACCCTAACCCCTTAACTGGCATTTTACCAAAATAAAATATTTTAAGTAGGGTAATAAAATATATTATTTGGTACAAAACCTGATAAATCTGATACATCCCATTTAAAAATGTTAGGTGGGAATCAAACTTGTTCTAAAACATGGGCCAGAGCTACTTGTTTGATATTTATATAATGGTTTTGTGTGAAATATTGAGAACTTCTTTCATATTGACAATAGTATTCATTAATATTGCAATGAATGCAACACTGCAATCATGAAAGCAGATTTTTTTGTTGTCATATAGAAAAATTCTGTTGCACTTTGAAATATATCACCTATGACATTTTTCTGTAAATTAGAAAATACCTATGATCAATGTATACTTGTAAATTAGAAAACACCTTGTGATTATCCGGAATAGCACCACCTCTGTACTGGGAAGGGAGACTGTCTGGATTCCCAGTTCATACTAAATCATTATTAAATAAACCATAATTTCCAAATTTGATGAACAATAAACTATAGTTTATAATGACAAATACTATACTTTAAATCAAGATTAAACAAGAAACATGAACTGATAAATTAAATGAAGTCCCACAACTGCCTTCCTATCAAAATAGCAGCAAAATGATATTTTTAATTTTAAATAATAGTCTTCTGCTTTGCCTCTTATTTTGTGAAATAGGAGAAACATTAATATTCACAAGGAGATGATTTTTCCTATGTTCATAAAACCTACTTGAACGTTTTTGATCTCCCTTCCCATGAGTTATCCTTCTTTTGGCTTTTGAATGGTTCTATACCCTCTGTCTTATAGTAGTGTATTGCGATAGTGGGGTTCATTGCTGTAGAGGTGGATGGTATCTATGTGATTAGAGGACCCTGGAAGATTAAGGTTCAAAACTGGACCAAAAATTGTGAGTGAAAAGAAGGTGGTGGAGACAATGATGTGGCAGAGTGGGTGGTACTGGAAGACTCATCTGTGTAATCCTTCTGATCTATGAAGGGGCATAAATGCCTGAAGAAGACTCCTGTGGTTCCTTTTTCTTGTTAACACATGCTAGAGCCATCTTTGCTTAATTGGTTAATCTTCTGGGACAAAGCTAGACATTTGTAGTCATGCAAATATGTTTATCGGAGACTTGTTATATCAGATGTACTGTGTGCCAGATTGCCATTTGATAGGAGGGGAAGAATGAAAGTGTTTGCCTAGCACCAAGCCTCATGTTCCTTGATTATTTTCTGTAAAATAGTTGGATGGGAGGATGCTCTCAATAATAGCCTTCCCTAACCTAGCATCATTTCTTTGTATTGAAGAATACATAAGGCCAATAGCAAGCTGGCTGAGTAATGCGGAAGTTGTACTACCAATAGACCTAGGGTGAAAAAAGTTGGACTAGGTCCTGTGAAGTCATGTTCTTATTTTAAAATAATTTAGTAGAATCTCTGTAACTTCAGGGTTTCAAAGTCAGGGCTAGAAATATCCAAGTTGGGGGAAAAAAACCTCACAGTTTTTGAGTAAAATTTACTTTAATAAGGTTAATGTGGGTGCTGTGGAGATGCAGTGATGGTATCTTTGTAATGAC